TGTCACCATCATGTCCCTGCAGGGTCTTCCCAAGGGGGCCTGTGGTCTTCAGCCTGTGTGTCTCCAACACCTTGGTGCCACGGTAGGACAGGAACTAAAACTATACATGTGCCATCAGTGGCAGATGCAGTCTTTGCAGTGGTATCTTTCACCCTGCTCTGATCGGTTTCTGTTCCACAGCTTCCATGCCGCACCACACAAGTCACGTGGCACTTTCTCAAGCAGTTCTGGAAGTTCTATTTTGCAAGTGTTTTTAAGATACATAACTTAGAAATGTGGTGACTGCCATCCAATGGAAAGGAGGGCAGGCTCATGAAAACCCACTGGTGAGTCGTCACCCAGCTTCTTCACTGGATCTGGAACCATGCAATGTCTGGCTGTTCGCCAAAGCCAAAAGGCCCATTAAAGAGAAATGTTTTGAATCCATTCCGGATGTGGAGGCAGGCACCACAGCACAACTAAAGACAATCAGGAAATCGGACTCCCAGAACTGCTCCAGAAAGTGGTAAGAATGACAGTATTCAAGTGAGGGGGAATCCATGGCAGTGAATCTTTTAATATAATACTTTTTGATTTAAACACACACCATATTTTTGATCAGCCCTTGTACGATGTTTTATAATTTTAAAAATTGAATTTAACAAGCATCTTTGCTTCATAGTAACACTGATCTGCATTATTTTTAAAGCTTCAGAGCAATGTATCATTGTGACAACTCATGTAATCAGCTTTCTATTAATGGTCACTTACAGGGCTTCCACATTTCCAAGATGATGAATGATACTATGAGGAGTATTTTTCTATACGTTCCACTGTTCTCTTAGCATATATTCATAGTAAGAAACTGAATGCATATTGCCACAGTACCCTCTTCAGTGACTGATTTTACTTGTACACCAATGATTACTGGATGAAAGGATGCTTCCCCACACATTTCCAACACCAGCTATTAGCAGTCTCGAAAGTTTGACAAGCTAGTAGGCACTGCTCTAGCGTGGATCTAGGGTGCCCTTCAAATGCCCATGTTGTGCTCTTAGTCTCCCAGGCTGGCACTTTTGAGAGGTGATGGCAATTTTAAAAGGCAAGGCTTAGCGGGAGGTCTGTAGGTTATTGGAGGTGGGCCCTTGAAGAGAATCATGGGAACCCAGCCCCTTTTCTTCCTTTGTGTCCTGGTCACTCTGAGATGAGCAGCAGCTAGCTCTGCACCTGCTCGCTGCCTTGATGGGAGGCCCAACCCAAAGCACTGGAAACGCCCAGCCATGGACCAGAACTTCCAAAACTGTGAACCAAAAGAAAGCTTTTCTCTCTCTAAGCTCATCATTTTAAGTATTTTTTTGACAGCAACAGAAAGTTATCTGACAAAATTGGTTTGACTTCTTGCTAGGGAAGCATGAATCAAATTCTAGCACAAAATTTCATGTTAGCCATGGAGCCTGGCAGTTTGGTCTGCAGTTAGGGAAGTAAGAAGCGACCTGAATCTGGCAACAGCCCAGTGACATTCCACTGACCCTGTTGTTTTTTTTTTTTTTTTTTGAACAGGCTGATCTTGAAATCTGTGTAGTTCCATTATTGGTTGTTTTGATTTTCATTTCCCTTTTGGAGAAAGTTCACTAGAGCTGATTTTGGAAGGGCAGTGAAGAATTTATTCACTAACCTCACATCCTCCTCAGCTCAGTGTGAAACTGGGGACCTGTCTTTGGCTACTGCTAGACAATAATGGGACACAGACCTTTTCTGTGGATTACAAACTCTGAGGCCAGCTCAGCGGTGCACACCTGTAATCCCAGCACTGTGAGGCTGAAGCAGGAAGATCACCTAGAATTTGAGGTCAGCCTGGGCTATGTAATGAGTTTAAGTCTAGTCGGGACCCTGTCTCAAAGTTTTCTTAAACTGAACTCCAAAAGACGCTGTTGTTCTGTAGAACCCTAAGTTCCTTCACTCAGTCCTCCCCTGCCCACCATGGGCTCTCCATTCTCCTTCCCACTGAGGCTTCATAAAGACAAAGTCCTGTGTCAGGAATGGTGATGGCCGTGCCACTAACACTTGCAGAGCACTTACTCTGTGCCAGGTGCATTCAAAGGAATGTTACAGGTGTCAACTCTCTTCATTCCTGTAACAAAGCTATGACAAAGGTACAGTTGCTAATTGGAAGCCCCATGAGGCTCACTTGCCACATCACTCAGCTAGGATGCAGTAAAGCTGGCGTCTGAACCCCAGCAGTTTGTCTCCAGAGCTGCCCTCTTAACCACCATGACATGGATGCCCATGAGATGGAGAGACACTGGAATACTGGAGTGGTAAGAATGCCTTTCCTCCTTTGGGATGCTGTCATTTGCATCTGATGCTTGGAACCGCCACAGCTATTTTGTGACCACGATAGGAGTCAGGGCTGAGTATGCTAAGAAGAAGCACTGCCATGGAGAGTGGAAGGACGGAAGGCTCTTTTGATGTGAGAACAGTCTGGAGTAGCTGAATTCACTGACCTGAGAACTGCTCTACCTCAGGAGTTCTCCTATGAACCCAATATTGTTCCCAAACACACATTCAATAACCTCAATTCCAACCAGAGCCATATGACCCGTAGGCAAAGTATGTGTCCAAGGTGAACAACTTTGATTTAGTCAATAAATATTTACTGAGCAACATCCATTTGCGAGGTACAGTGTGAGATGGGAAAGGCCTGTACCTTGGGAAGCTGTAATCTGTGGCAAAATATGGTAGTAGTGCGGAGAGGTTTTTAGGGGTGCTCTTGATGATGACCGTGGATCAGCAGGGCAGAGGAGACCCTGACACAGTCCAGTAAAGGCAGATATAGAGAACCCATGCCTATTAGTGTCATTCATATGTAAGTTTGTATTTAATTTGTGACATGCTTTGGTTTTAGCTGCATAAAAATTTTAAGACCTTGTCAGGCATGCTAGTACCTAGTGGTAATCCCAGCACTGGGGAGGCAGATGCAGGAGGGTCACCCAGAGTTGGAGGCCAGCCTGGGGTACATAATTAGGTCAAGACCAGCCTGAACTACATAGTGAGACCCTGTCTCAAGAAAACAAACAAAAAACAAATGCATCACAAGACCATTCAGTGAATCCCGGGATATTACCTATCCTTAGGTAACTTTATAATAAAATATAAGCTGATTTAGAAGAGGCAAACTGATATTAAAGATAATGCCAGAGAATGGGAACCAAGGCATTGAGCTCCCTGGTTGGAAGCTCTTTGTGTCTTGAATTCCAGAATCCGTAAGATATGATTCATAGTGGCACAGTCAAGAGATCAGCAAAGATCACCACAGGGACAGGAACAAAGCCCAGCCTGTAACCCGCTAGTAATTGCAAGTATGATTTGTATTTTCTCTCAAAACAGTTGGGTCCTTAAAAGTGGTTTCTGCCAAAAGCCATGACTTCCCTTGGGCCTACAGGTGCCCCACAGGTAACTAAAGTAGAAAAGGCTTGACCTTCACTCTGTGAAACACTGGGTCAAACCCTTCTCTGCTCTGTATCCAGGTGTGTTAGCTATTGAGGGACATCTGTCTAAAAACGGGCAAAACAAGGTGTATTACTCCTAATCTACCTAATCCTTCAAGACTGGGACCTCCTACTCCCAGAGTTCCTCCAGCCCTAAGCCTGTGGTCACCTCAGGTTCCAGCTGAGCTTCACAGTCCTGAGGCTGCCCCAAATCCGGGGGACCCCTCATGGTAATCAAACTGCCCCTCAAATTTCAAGGATGAAACCCTGAGCTGTGAAACCAGAACTGAGATAATCTCTGGCTGAATTACTTAAAAGGTAGCCTTCTGTAATCCCAGAATTCTGGGAGGCAGAGGCAGGAAGATCACAGGCTGAGCCTAGTCTGGGAAATTTATAGAGAATTTGTATAAAAAAATAATAACAAAATGGGGTGGGGATGTTTTTGTGGGTGAGCCAGTCTGATCCTGCTCATCAGTGTGTGCCCCTTCGGCTACAGCTCAGGCTGGAGTTCTTCCCTTCCATTCTCTTCCCTTCCAAGGAAGCTGTGCCTATAAACTCATGTGGTAGCTTTAACTTCCATCATCATGACAGCAAGGACTGGCGGTGGCCAATGACAGGAAAGAAAAGCTGCAAAGGGACACCTTGGAGTTTTTAAACTCATAGGGATAAGACTTGAAAATCCATGCTGCTGTGAAAGGTCTGAAACTACTCACCAGTTTGTGAAAGCGGGACTGGGCAAGAGGCAGGGGTGGGTCCTGGAAGTGACACAGAGAAGGAACAGGAGGACACAGAGACCCAGCTGTCAGGCCTGGTCAAAGACCTGCTGGATTTCCAGAGGTGACCAAACAAACACCAAGAAGAAAGTGGCTTTCGGAGTTTAACTACAGAAAATGTCTGCTATGCACATAAGTGCAAGATTAGCATTGCCATCAGGCAGCTCTGCTGTCCCCCAACCTCACTTCCTTTACCTCCCACTCCCTGTTATTTGCAAGCACACTGCAGACTCAGGGTCTCACTGCACATCCTGGATGGAAGGGATCAGAGCCCGGGCCTCTGATGTCTGCGCCTGGCTCTCGAGGTGGTGGCCTCTAGGCCCTGAATTCCATGATTTGCAAAGATTTGCAGTGGACTGATTGCTTGATTGACTTTCAGTACTGGGGACTGAACCCAAGGTCTTCGCTCTGAGCTAAACCCCCAGCCTATATGGGGGTCTCACTAAATCGCTAAGTTGCCCAGGCTAGCCCCGAACTTGCAACCCTCCGGTCTCAGCATCACGAGCGCTGGATTACAGGGAAGGACTTCAACACAAGAGGACTGGTCCACCTTCCCCAGACTACCCCGGGGGGACGCTCGCCACATAACCCAGGCTGACGCTGCATTTTCCCAGGTAACCGCAGAGCAAAGGTGCCACCTCAAAAACCCGCGACAGCTACCCCTGCAGCCATCGAAGTCCATCCGCTCCCCCGCCCGCCTCTGTCCAGGAACTCTCCGCCACCCGCGCCCAGCAACCCCCGCGCGTCCCACTGGCCCCGCCCATCCATCGGCGCAGAGAGCAGCGGGCCGTGCGTCCCCTCTCGCTCGGGGGCGCGCACGCCGTGCGTCTCGGCGCACTCGGGCTTTAGGCCTTGGCGGCCGGCAACGGAGTACGAAGGGGCCGCCATGTTCTCCTTGGCACTGCGGGCCCGGACGGCCGGCCTCACCGCCGCGTGGGTAAGGAAGCTGCCGAAGCCCGGCTCTGCTGCCGCTCTGCGCGGGTCTCGGGCCTCCTTTCGCGGCGGGCGCCGGCGGAGCCTGGGCGCTGGACGGCCTGCGGCGGGGCGAGGACCCTGTGGCCTTGGTCATGTCGCGCGGGGAGGTCGGCGGCGCGGGTTGCGGGGCGGGGGGCGGGGTCCAGATACCCGCGGTCAGGCCTGCATTTCCCGCACTTGGGAAGCGCTCCGTGAACGATCGCGCCAAACCAGCTGTGCAAGGACACTGCGGACACCCGCGCCCTGCCGAGGACTCGAGGGGTTTTTGTGCCTGTTGAGGTCCAGGTCCAGGTCCGTCTCTGCATTAGACACACGGAAGCTGAGCTGCAGGGAGCTCGAAACACTCAAGTTAACTTTGAAATGGAGAAGCTGGAAAGGTGATAAGAAGGCATTTGCTGGAAAGAAGCCCAGTTTGCGGTTGGCTGGTTTTTAAGCAGTGAAGCGGGTTGAGTCGGTCCTCAGAGAGGAGCCGGCGGGCGTCGGTGTAGGTAGTTCTGGGCCCCGGAGTGAGTCCGAGGTGGCGCGGCTGCTGCACCTCCTCAGGTAGCTCTGTTACCTTGACCTTCGTCCTTGGTCCCCCAAGCCGTGGGAAGGGGTCGTTCCGCTTGCAGTTGAGTGTTCGTAAACACGTAAGGTACTGCTGGCTGCAGCTGCCACGGGGTTACAGTGAGCGTCTTGCTCTGCCAGATAATGGTAAATATCATTTTCTCCATCTCTTTTGAGGTTGGTACTATCAGAAATGGATATAAACCACGCTTGTTCTGGTGGAGTTTTTACTTTCATGTAAAAAGAATGTTGAGACACAAAGTAAAAGTAAAATGCAGTATTAGATCTGAATGAAACCATCCAATCTGGTTTGAAGGCGGGCTAAGATTTTTCCCGAAAGTAATACCAGCAAGACGTCAAAAGGCATTCTAGGTAGACAGTACAATATAAAAGAAACGTAGCATCAGGAAGAAGCTTCATTGTGTGAGCACCTAGCTCTCCTACCGGAGGCAGAGATGGGCGGAGATGTGCCCTACTGAAAAATCAGGTTTTACCTTAATTCAAGGCAGTGAGTGGATGTGATCTGGTTTCCGTTTGGGATGGATTTCTGGATAGGACCAAGGACAGAGTGGGTTTCGGTGGACACAGAAGCAGAGAAGTGGCCAGAAGACGCTTTTGTAAAACCTCAGATGTGAGATGATGATCACACCTTGTCTGTTGACAGAGGAAGAGTAGAAGTAAAAGTACCCTGGTTTGTTTCTTTCGTTATTGAAGCAAAAGGTATAGGAAGAAGCTGCTTTAACCTCTGCAAGAAAACTTTTGTATGTGATATGTTAAATAAATATTTGTTGAAAAATGTTTTAAATTACTCAAGTAATATATTGTAGGAAAAAAATACCAAAAGCAAAAAGAATAAGCTCAAAAAGCCCATAGTCTTACTATGATTTCTATGGTTACTTTTTTATTTACATTTGTAAATACTTGATATTTATAAAGTATTACGTTGTTTTGTAGCCTACTTTTCCCCATAATGTATTTTGATCAGCGTATCAGTATATGTTTCTGTCCTGTCATTTAATGCTGCATAGCATTGCACTGTGAGGATGTCCTATGTTTTCATCTTTCACAAATAGTGGCATATCAGAATAAGCCTAGAAAAATCAAGAAAAATATAAGGTCTGACTAAGAAAGTTCTTGTCTTAAGAGAGAAACCTTGACCATGTAAATTTCAGAGAAATTGCCTATTCCGATGTAATTTTTCCATTAATGGCTAGCTCCAAGTCTTCTACCAAAAATCTCTTTAGTTTATTGCTTTTAAAATGCCTAGAGCTGTGAGTGTAGCTCATTAGATTATGATCTGCTGCGGTTTTCAAGCACCAGCACTGCACCATCCATCAAAAAAGAAAAAAAATACAAGCCCAGATCTTAGTACTGTAAATTGTGACTTGGAGCCCTTTTTTCCTTCCTGTAGCGTGGTTTACTACCTCCTTGGGGCACTGTAATAACGGACTAAAAATTATGAATAATGGAGCAGTAGACTTAGGCTAGGCTTACTCCTTTCTTCCTTCATAATTGTCCCTGTTTTTCTTGTTTGATATTGCCCTGTTCCTGAGCTACTGCGTTTAGTGTGGTCGCTGAAGGGGTTATAGTGGCATTTTCAAGTGTTAGTATGTTTTCTCAGTCATAGGAGTTACTTTTCCTTACACACTTAACCATGGCTATAGATGTCTTAAAATTGTCTAGTAATCTGCACGTTTTTCCCTTGAAGGTATTTATGTGTCCCCCACCCATGCTGAATAATTTGGATAGTGGCTCAGAGCTCTTGAATGACGTTTTCTCCTTCAAAGACGACCATATATTATTGTTGCTATCCATCTCCCTTGTGTTGGTGCAGTTCCTCAGTGGGGCTGTGATCTGAGTCTGTCACGGGATCTGTAAATAGTGTGGCACTTAACCACACCTGTTCTGACACTTCCCACTTTCTCGTGGTGATGGCTGTCTGACTGCTGGGCCCAGTGACAGGACGCGCATGACTGTCCCACTGGGTGGCTTAATAATTCAGTTAAAGACACTGATAAAAGTGATTGGATCTGTTTGTACCACTGGTGGTATAAGTTGCCATTCAGACCCATTATGCATGTTAATACATGGTTAGGCTGATAGGTTAAGGCCGCATGTTTTCCTTTTAGTTTTAGCTGCTCTGCCGGAGCTAGGCTGGGCCTGCCTTCAGGTAAAGGAAAAAGAAAAAAAAAAAAATGTAGAGAAAAAAACCAAACCTTACTGACTGCTTCCAGACATAGACTCTCCCTATGTCGACCTGCTTTTGCTTGTTCTCCAGTGCCTTTAGAAAGTTGTTTTTCTAAATATTTGCCCAGAGTTTGTCATTCTTTTGCATTGGTTTTGCTTCATAATAGCTACTCAGCCACGCTAAAGGTGTGCCACCTTCAGTGATGGCGTTTTCTTTCCATTTTTAATCGTTTTTTAAAATATAATATATATATGTTGGTTCTTTCAGCTTCTCACTTTCCAGTTTTTAAAGTTTTGTGATATGAAATGTTTTACCATTCCATTAAAGATTCTTAAACCTAATTTTGCAACATCTCAAAGGATGTCTATTTTAGCTCAGTGACTCAGAGGAAGTTATTTTTCTCTGGGTAGGAAAAAACCCCCAAACATGGTACATATGCTCCTTTGCTTAAAGTGGGGTTACAATCAGGTAAAATCCACCCTAGGTTGAGAATTTAAGTGGAAACCTTAATACTCCTAACCTGTGGAACATCACAGCTTAGCAGCACAGTACCTCAGTTGTATATTTGGTTGTTTACCCTTGTGACTGTATATGAATGAGATGTGCTTTGGGGGTGAAGAGGGTAAGAAGAGGTGGTGACCCGGATTATGGCAGGTGAGCTGGAGGTATGCAGTGTGTTAACCTTGTGGGAGTGGCCAGCTGTGTGTGAAGGAGGGTGCATGGAGGAGGAGGAGCACGAAAGAGGGGTGGGGAAGGTTCCTAAACACTCGGTAGGTAGGCCACAGAGTTCAGATTCTGTTCTGTAAGTTGTGAGCATTTTATGTAGGTGAATAGCATAACCAGGTTGAATACAGTGCTGCCATTTCCCCGGTGTAATTTTGGTACAGAATCTCTTGAACTTACTAGCAAAGTTAAGGAAACAGAACCCTAAAATGACTTTTCTTTGCACAAGGAAAGGTTACTTTTGGTCATTTGCAGAGGTATTTGACACATTTGATTACTTACTGTAGAGAAGTAACTGGATTAAATTGCAGAATTTAGTAGTTAGTGTGAGTGGAAAACTTTTAGTTTTATCACAGTAGTAAAAGTCTGCAGTGTTGGGAGGAAAGTCATGAAATGCTGTTAAGGTTTTGAGCCGTGATTTACAACATAGAGAGTGATCTTACCAGCATCAGTTTGGGTGCTATTAAAATAGATGATTGGAAATAGAACACGCCCTTTGCTTTTTAAAATTAATGTATAATATTTATGGAGTATTGCACAGGTTTTAGTCCTTCACCTCCAGAATAGCATAATGAAGGTAGAAAAATATGCAGAAGATGCTGACTAAAGTCTGCTGTGGGCTTTAGTGTCTATGTGAGGATAGACTTCAAGTCTTTTTGACTACCTACAAGGAAAGTGGGCTTGATGGATTCATGTTAGATATCATCCAAGAGAGCTGTCCCTTGTCTGCCTTGGGGGCTAATGAAGGAAAAGTGGTTTTCAGTGGTCTGACCTTAGTCTTGTCTTTCTCGTGAGGTTGCAGTTCTGTCAGCTTCCTTGTCCCTTAAATTCTCCCTACCATGTGTATGCTTTGATAATGCAAAGCGTAACAGACCAAAATGTGAGTGGGTTAGATGGACCCTCAGAAGAAACCTGGAAGAAGAATTGGGCATGTGGAAGCGTCATTCGGGGACCTTATTCTTAGCAAAAATGTAAAGTTTTAGTTTTTGTCATTTTGAGCAGTAGCACTTAGGAGGAAATGGCTGGTAAAAACAGCATAGGATTTAGATTATAAGTGCTTTGGGCTTAGCTGGGCATCGTGGGACATGTCTGAAACCCCAGCACTCTGGAAGGCTGAGGCAGGAGGATCCTGAGAGTTCCATTCATTAGGACCTGTATCAAAAAGTCTGAAGATGTGGCTGAGGATTTAGTGTGTGTGTGTGTGTGTGTGTGTGTGTGTGTGTGTGTGTGTTGGGGAGGCTTGGGTCTGAAATCCTTCTGTCATTGTGATGTTACAGTCTTGTGATGGTATTGTCACTGAGCCCAAGTTTTAAAAAAAGTATAATTAGTAACCAAAGAATATGCTAGCACTGTTTCCTGCTGTAAATCTTTGTTCCTCCTGAAACACTGGAAAAAGAAAAAAAATGCAGTTTAAATCCACATTAATTCTGTGCTAAATATCAGGTTATGCTGTAGTTTTTAAATATTTGGATTTTCAATTGATGTTCACTTAATTAAATTGGAATGTAGTGAGCTCTAGACATTTCTGAATTGAGTAAGAATGATTGTTTAGAGAGAGAACCGGCTCCTTAGCTTGTTCTGTGAATCTGGCTGACTGGTAGTGTTTGCAGTTCTGAAGCTGTCGGGTTCTGGAATACCTTGTTATTCCTAAGTAAAACCCAATTAAAAAGGCCCCCATGGGTAGCATAAAGACACCTTCATGCATGTATTATTTCTTGGTATGCTGAAAAGTCACATCTGAGTGAAAGCAGCAGCTCTGACAGCCGCGCAGAATGTGCTCTGGAGAAGTTTGTGTCAGCAGAATTGAGGACCAGGATTTATCAGTTTATCCTTGTGGCTTTGCTGCCTTTTTTCCTTTTGCATGTATTGTCTGAGCCTTTTCCCTACAATTTTGAAGAAATCTATTTCAGATACTGAAATTTAGCTGTTTACATATAATACTTATGTGTATCTATATACACTATATACTAGTATATTTTATGTATTTACATATATAGGTATACTAGTATAGTATATGTAGTATTTAAGCAAATTTTTGTGGAGCTAAGATAAGGGTAGCAAAGATTTAAAAAAACAAAAGACAGGGCATAGTGGCGCACAATAGGAGGCTGAGGCATGAGGATGGCAAGGTCAAGCCCATCCTAAGCAACTTAGGAGACCAAGTGTCAAAGTTAATAATAAAGTCTGGTGATGTAGCTCACTGCAGAGGTCCTGGGTTCAGTTCTCTTAGTACTGCTAGTAAATAAACCATTAATGACTTCTTTCCAGATTAGAGCATTGTAAGCCAAGGACAGAGGCCTTTTCATTTCTAATCTGTCTCCTTATATGTCAGTGTCAGGTGTCTGATGTCATAAGCTGTTACCAAGATAAGTCAAGGTGACAGCCTTTGTAGTCATGACCCAGGACAGTGAGGTGAACCTTCTAAGCTTTCAGTGACACAAATAGCAGCACATGTGGTATAGGTTTGTCACCAGTGACCTAGGATTTCACGTGACTGGAGCTGTTCTCTCACACGTCCACGGTTACAGGTCAGCAAGAGAATGTCTCCAAAACAGCCTCAGATCACCTCTGTCATTCACATTCTAGACAAAAGTACTGGATACATCCTGGATTAAGGAGATAGGGATCAAATGTTAATCCCAAACCCAAGCTCTCTTAAAGAGATTTTGGTGTTCCCTGTGACATACAGGGAGATGATGTTTTGTTTCACATCCAGTAAATGCTTTAAGTGTTATATATCCATGCTAAGTAGAAATTTGAAAACTAGACAAAAACAGAAGAAAATATTTTTTGTCTTTTATCATCTTACCGTTGTAACAAACAGTTACATTTTTCCAGCCCTTTCATTAGTGTGTCTATTTAATTGGGATGATAGTTTATGTTTTGGGTTGTTCTTACCCTAGAATTAGTAATTCCAAATGTAATTTTGTTACCAGTACTTTTATGTATCATTTTTATGATTTTTTTTTTTTTTGGCCAGCTCTGCATAAGGGAAGATCAAAATACATGTTTAATGTTAAATATTTTTTAAAAATAAAATACCATTTATTACCTATCAAGTGGCAACATTTTATTTTTTTTATTTTGGTTTTTGGAGACAGGATCTCACTATGGAGTCTTAAACTCATTGTATAGTGCAGACTGGCCTAGAACTCAAGGAAACCGTCCTGCCTCAGCCTTCCAGGTACCAGGCTGACAAATGTGCACTACCGTATCCAGCGCAGATATCTAAAATTTAAAAAAACATTTATTAATATATGTTTGCAGAACATAATGATTACATTCATTGTGGTGCCTAAGGAAAAGCAAAGTCACAGTTGAAGCCTCCTCAGGAACCTCTCTCAGATTGTATTCTTGCCCCCAGAAGCATCCTGAAACTGTATTTATCACTCCTGTATTTGTACTTCGGACTCACACTCTGTATCTGCATATTTTCTTACTTGCTAAAGTGCGTGCTTCATGGAAGTACTAGTTGGGCTAGGGAAAGGGTTCACTGTGTCACTGTTGTATTACTCTTTATTCTGTTGGTTTTGAATTGCCCAACTCTGTCAGTTCCACGTTTGTTTAACCCAGTGTCCTGCCGTCTGGTTCACAGAACTCAGGATTACAAGACTGAGTGATAGTTCAATTGCTTAAGGTTGGAGGGCAGAAGTAGAAGGCAAAGGGCAGTGCAGTGCAGTGCAATAGAGAGCAGTCAGATTCATCCCAAAGCTGTGTGTGTTACCAGTCTACGTCGCATCATAAGGAAGCTCACTGAAACCACTTTTATGGCTGGAGTTTCTGAGCTGAGTAAGAAGGCTACTGTTGGCTCATTTGTTCAGAGTATATGATTCATTTATAGAGAATGAAAACGTATTTACAAAGGTCCACATGAAATGAAAGCTGCCATCCAACTTGACTCAGGCAAAAGCAAAAGGCATGAGGTGGGTGGTGCATCATTTCTCCAAGTGGGAGTCAGTGGATGTAGGCGAGCGGGTAACACATTTCAGTAGATCTGTGCTGTGGCCGCAGTCGTTCTGGCCTATGTGACCTTAGGCAGGTTACTAGGCTTGCTGTGGATCTCCATTTCCTCGTATCTCCTGAAAGAGAGATGACCAGGGGTGTAGGGTAGTGGAACTGTGTTTCTTAAGATTCTTTTACTTCTTTACCTTGATTCTGTTAAATTGTAAATCTTACACTATGGGCTGTGACTAACCTTAAAACTTTAATCTTCAGGGAAGACAAATAAGGAATTTGCATAAGACAGCTGTGCAAAATGGTGCTGGAGGAGCCTTATTTGTGGTAAGTAGATTTCTTCATAATGAAAAGACTTGGGAATTGGATGGAATCCACTAATATCTAAAATATTTTGAGCTGAACATGTAGAGCACTTGCTTAGCATATGGAAGGCCTTGGGTTCTATCCCTAGCACTGAGGAAAAAATACTCTTCAGTATATGCTGCCCACTGTGGGAATTTATAGTGCACTGAATATACATTTCAAAAGATGTGTGATTCCATCTGAACCTCTCATTTAAATTGGAGCCAGGGAGAAGCCAGGGGTATACCTCAGTGGCATAAGCAACTGCCTGGCAAGCACAAGTTGTGAGTTTGATCCCTGATCCCCAAATAAATAAATAAATTGGAACAAGAAAAACAGAATAGGAATTTACATTGTTCTGTGATGAAATTACTGTGAGCCTTAACCTGATTGTCGTTACACTTCGTTTTTTTGTTTTGTTTTGTTTTTTCTTTTCTTTTTTTTTTTTTTTTTAATTGGTACCAGGGATTAAACTCATGACCTCGAGCTTGCTAGACATGTGCTTGTGCCACTGAGCTAAATCCCCAGCCCCCTACTTTTGAGTTCTTAGAAAGCACAGTCATGTCTCTGTGAAGGTTCTAAGGCTGTAATTTGACAGATTTTAGTAATGTAGTGAATGAATACATTAGCATTTGGTCTTTTATGTTTCCAAGTTTTAACTGTAAGTAGAAGTCTGAAGTTTCCAGCTTAGCTGCGCAGTTCAGGAAGGACTAGGTGTCCTCCCTATGTTTTATTTTTTTTTATTATTATTATTTTTTTTATCGGTACTGGGGATCAAACTAATGACTGCCTGCTTGCAAGGCAGGTGCTTATGCCGCTGAGCTAAATCCCCAGCCCCTCTACCCATGTTTTCTTTTTTTTTTTTTTTTTTTTAATTTTTTCCAGTACCAGGGATCGAACTCACGACCGCCTGCTCACAAGGCAGGTGCTTATGCTGCTAAGCTAAATCCCCAGCCCCCTACCCATGTTTTCTGATACGATATATTTTCAAGAATCAGCCTAATGTTTAAAGGTAATGTAATCTGTATGATAATTTGGTTAGTGGTGTAAGTAGTAACTTTCTGCTTTATCACCTTTGTCTAAAACATTATCAGATTGGCTTCATATTTGAAGTTACTGTCCAGAGTTTCCATTTTGCTTTATATTCTTTTACAAAGCAAAACTCTGAGCATTAGTGTATCAAGAAATTCAGTTTTGTATTTACCACACATATAAAACACTGATTGTTAATTTCAATGTGAGTCAGTTTCCTGTTGATTTGCCATTTCTTGTCAGTTTTTGAAGAGAGCTTGCTCTAAAGAAGAAAGAAATAAGCATCCTTATGTTACTGGTTTCAATTTGTGGGAAACTTGTGGGGAAGACAATGTGTTTTTGTAACTACATAAAGTAGTGGGTCAGTATAACCTTTCTGGATCCCAGATTTATTGAAAAATCTGGTACCATCTTAGAAAAATTCATATGTTTACACTCCAAATTTTGTGTCCTACTTTCATAAGGCTTCCAGTAATTGATCATGTTTTGATAACTGAATAAAATCTTATCCCTAATAAAGTTGGATAACAATTATTTACTCTTATTGTGGAATTAAAGCTTCATTAACCCATTCATGATGGGACTGTAATTTGTGTCTGGCTGCCAGGCACTTAACTTACTTGGTATGTGTGTGACTGTCCCATACTAGTGGTGCAAGCCACCTGATGGGACAGTCACGCATGCAGCACCAGAGGTCCAAGCTGGTGAAAACTGGTACAGTTTTCTAAAACCATTCTAAAGCTGAATTTCTGCTAACTTTGGTAAGCACTCTCATCAACTGTGTGTTTTAGTCATTGTTTTTGATGGAAGGATAAGTTAACATACATCCAATTGGAATTAAACTGGAGAGTTTAAATAATTGTTCATAGTATAGTGATGAATAGTGTTTATTCACACTTCAGAGAGAATTTTGATAGTTTTGGAAAAGCTTTTTTCTTTTTTGTTTAGCACAGAGATACTCCTGAGAATAATCCAGACACTCCATTTGATTTCACACCAGAAAACTATAAGGTATGACTAAATTAACATAATTAACTTACAAAATATTTAATAGCTTCCAGATAAATAAAACGGGTGCTTTTTCTTCTATACAGAGGATAGAGGCAATTATAAAAAACTACCCCGAAGGGCATAAAGCAGCTGCAGTGCTTCCAGTCCTGGACTTAGCCCAAAGGCAGAATGGGTGGTTGCCCATCTCTGCTATGAACAAGGTACTGAGTTCACTTTTGCCATAGAAAAGAGGAGAGACTGTGTGCAATAATCCACATGCGGAAGTCCCTGCTAATCATGAGTGTTACCATCTCAGCGTCGGCAGCCTCTCAGTCACTTGTTTCCCTGGATTGCATTGTTTTTAGTAGTTTCCTCAGGACACTGTACTAAAGTAGAGCTTTCTGTTATTGCTGAAAATAGTGAAGGTGTAATGGTAAAACTTTTTTTGTTGTTTTGTTTTTCTCTTTTTCATTTTGAGAGAAATGGTCATAACAAAGATAAAACATCTCAAATGTGTTTTTAGTGACAACATATTCTGAAAATTCAGTATTTCAACACTAGAATTACAATAAAAATCTCATAGTGAATGTGAATGTTTTTAATATTGTTCATCTCTGGCAACAAGCCATAACAAACTATATCATATTTGGGATTCATGCCATTGATTATGCCATTTTTGGAATCAACCTACAGAAATGCTGTGGATGACCCACTTTGTATGAAGTTAGTCTATTCGTATGTACTTTAAGATTTTATTTTTTTTTGAACAGTAACTCAGCAGTAAACCAAATTTTAAGTTTACTCACATCCTGTTATTACTACATTTGTATGGTAATAACAGCATATTATTTACAGAGTACCATACAAAAACCATATGTAATTTGATTTTTATGAGAATCCATGTTGTATAATGTTATAATGTTAAGACTGGCAGTGTTACTCAGCAGAAAGGATATTTGACTTAGGGCTAAGAGAACTCATTTTTTTTGCTTCCTTAGCAGTGCTGATTTTGAGTGAGGTGGACTTCTCCCAGCCACCATGTTACGATTCCTGAGTGACAGAGTGGAGCTGAGTGCAGTGCCATATGTGTTTCCTCACTTGACCAACTATCACAGATGCCGCTGCATTTTAATACCGTTTTCTAAACTTCACTTGATCATAACTGTTAGGAAAGACCATTGCTTTCTTGGAGAATAGCAGTGTCCTCCATTTATGTGCAATAATCCCATATGCAAATTTTAGACTTAGTTGATCTCTTGAACAGATCTGTAATATTGTGTAGACCCTTAGCAACTTTTTCACTATGAAAAATGCTACAGAGCTAGTTTGAATACTGGTAATTAGGGCCAGGAATGTAGCTCAGTGGTGCAGTGCCTGCCTGGCAAATGTGAGGTCCTGGATTCAATTCCCAGCAACCCTCCCCACCTGCCAAATACTGTTAGGTAGACATACTTATGTCTTTAATAAATGTCATATTTCTTTGGAATTTAACTTTCTTTAGAAATTAATACCTACTTTCAAATGATTTAGGTATATGCTTGTAATCCTAGTTTTTATTTTATTTTTTACAAAAAATTTGTCTTTAATATTAGCATGCCTGGTGGAAATCTTGCAGAGGGCATCCTTAACGCAAAATAAAATAAAGCTAATGTGAGAGCATTTAAACACAATGTCCTATTCTATTTAGGGAGAGTCAGGAAATAGAATAGAATATAGAGAGCAGAGTCAAGATTCTTTCCATTTTACATTTAGGACTTTTATTTTAAAGTTCCCCACAACTTAAAGAGATATTCAACTTCACAACAAAAAAAATCTGAAAGTTCATTCATTAATCCCTTAGCAGTTAATAAAGCATGGAGAAGTATGTGGCGGAATTCCAGTTCCAAATCAGACAATCGGGGCCTTGCTCCAGGTTTATTAAATCAGAGTGATGCTAGGGTTGTGACATGTTTTATGTCAAACTAAATACAACTACTTTCTCTCTCACAAATGATTAGTTGTGATTAGATATCTTTTAGGAATACATTTATTTTAAATTCTTGCTATGAGAAAGTTCAACCTGTTATTTGAAATGCCATTAATGAACTACTTTCATGTCCAGGCATTGACATATGTGTGTCAGTTACACACACACACACACACAGACACTCTCTCTCTCTCTCTCTCTCTCTCTCTCTCTCTCTCTCTCTCTCTGTCTGTCTCTCAAGAATGCCAGGTACAAATCTTCAAACTCAGGGTAATGATATTAGATGTAAACAGTTAAGAGTTAACCGTTTTTTATGTTGTCATACCATTTGTGCAACTATGTATTTACAAGTCACATTAGGCTGTTTTGAAAAATTGGTGAAGGGTTGGAGGTAAACTTTCCTTTATTGACAGCTGATTGCTAAATTTTTACCAAGTGGACAATTTAAATTAAAAAATGTCAGAGCTGAAATGATCAAAATGTAAGTTCATAATACTGAAATACTTAGAGAAGAGTATGTTCTGAGCTTGTGAGACAGAGAGGAAAGGAGGAGGAGGAAATACTAGTGTTAAAGATTCTTTGTAAACTGTAAGATATTTGCAAAAATTAAAGGGCTTATATCACTATTACCAGGTACAAGTTTATTTTCTTTCTCTTAGAACTTTTCTGATTTTACCAAGTTGAAACAACATTAAAATTGTTTTTTAAATGAAATATCCAAAGTTCAATTTGTAATTAACTTCTTTAAAAATTTCCTAATATTTTAGGTTGCAGAAGTTTTACAAGTTCCTCCAATGAGAGTTTATGAAGTAGCAACTTTCTATACAATGTACAACCGAAAGCCAGTGGGGAAGTACCATATTCAGGTCTGCACCACCACACCCTGCATGCTGCGAGACTCTGACAGCATCCTGGAGGCCATTCAGAAAAAGCTTGGTATGGGGTACATTCTATTTGTAACTGTTATTTAAAAAGTAGCATTATGTCAAATTTAGAAAGAATTTTAAGTTTTCCCATTTCTGCCATCTTAGTCTATACTTTGCCAGTAAAATTTTGTCTTATTTTACTCACCTTTTTTTATATTTTGTGTTTGTCTCTAACCTTTCTATTTTAATCATGAATTATATTTTTAAAGCTTCTAAGAGTTTAAACTTTTTCATTGTTTACAATATTATTTTACTTTATAGTATCCTGTGTTACACAGAATAAGATATGAACACAGTAAGAATGCTTCATAGGAAAAGAAATTTAAAAATCGATAGTATAGTAAAAATAAGTGGGCATTGTTCCATATAAAACTATGATTGCTACATTTACATTTGTCAGATAAAGTAAAAGAAAATATCTTTTAATTTTGTTATTGGATACAAGTTACATAGTATAAAAAACAGTTTGGCACTAATAAAGTATATAAAGTAGAAAGCTGAAATCAGCCCAAAATTCCAACCCCAAGGTATATATTTTAGTAATTGTTCACAATGTGTTACAGGTTTTACATCATTTTAATTATTCACTGCATAAATTTTCTGAGCTTGCTTTTTTTCATTTTATTTCTGGCTATCTTTTTATAGCACAGTATGTGTGCCTGCCTCATTTTTTATTATAAATTAATCCACAGTTACTTTCATGTACACATACCTTTGTATACTTGCTGTGTTTTAAACTGAGCTTATTTGTAAGTACAATAGCTGGGTCAGTCTTTACCATATTTTACTAAATACATGTGAGTACTACTACCCATTTCCCTCATCTTTTTAATAATCTTTGACATCAGTAGTTTTCTGAGTATTTGCCAACCTGGTAGCGTGGCTATGATATTTGTAGTTTTTTTTATTATTACGATTTTTTGTTTTTTTGGAGACAGTCTTGCTTTGTAATTTGGGCAGGTCTTGAACTATGTGTAGCCCAGGCTGGCCTCAAACTTGCATTGATCCTTCTGCCTCAGCCTTAGTATTTGTAGTTTAGTTATCACAATCAAAATGAAAAGAATACAGACAGATGCAGGCATTGGAGATGATTTCCTACATTTGAATTATTTTAAAAGGAACATATCTACTTAAATCCTGGAATGTTATAAACAGGCATTCTTCCTTCTTAAAGAAATTTAATGCTCTAAAATAATTTTTTTGTATATAAAGGGTCATCAAAAAAGATGGTTGGTCTTCTTAAAAATTTAGAATTACTACATTAAAATACACATTGCCAAGAAAAATAGACTAAGTGTGTTCTAAACAAGGAGGAATATTTGAGGCAACATGTATTTTTGCAAAAAAATTTTCTTTTTGGACATTAACCAACCATTTACATCAATTTCTGTCAAATAAAAACATGAGTCCTCATCTACCTTATTCACTGGATTTGGCACTGTGCAACCCCTGGTTCTTCCCTAAAGTCAAAATGACCAGGAAAGGTAAATGCTTTTAGTCAGTTCTAGACACTGAGGTAGCCATGACAGCACAACAAAGACATTCATGAAGATACTTGCAGAACTGCCTCAAAGTGACAAGAACAAGAGCGTGAGTGTGTTCAAAGCAAAGAGGGAATATTCCAAGGAGGCTTAATGGCATGTGTTTCTTACTGTAATACATTTTTATAAAGTTAAACATTCACCATATAGTCTGATTATACCCCTTACCTTTGTAATAGTCTATAGTTTATAGTGCCCAGCCCCTTCTGCCCTTAAACCAGATTGCTGTTAAGCTATAAACTGGTCCTTACAGTGATCTCTATATTTTTAGGAATAAAGGTTGGGGAGACTACACCTGACAAACTTTTCACTCTTATAGAAGTGGAATGTTTAGGTGCCTGTGTAAATGCACCAATGGTTCAAATAAATGACAACTACTATGTAAGTATGCCACTTAATGTAAACTAAAGTCCTCTGATGTTGTATTTGAAATACTGATTCCATGTCCTGTAGATACTGGTTTCATAATTGTTCATTTAGACAAAACCATTAGTATACATACTACAGGTTTTAACAAGTTCTTTAAACATTTTTGTATCTTTCTCCAGAAGATGACTAACTTAAGACTTATGAAAAAATCACTTACATATAAATACAGAAAATAACCCTTGTATAGCAACCCAGGCTTAAAGGTAACATTTTGCAACATTTACTTCAGGTAGTGTTACGTTGTTATTGTCATTGTTGTCAGTATTTGTAGAAATAAATTGTAGGTACAGGTTCTGCTTCTTTCATCTTCAAAGATATCCAGAATCATTCATTTAATGATATTTTTTTATTTATGTTCTTAAACTTTCTATGTATGAACCCATACTAATGTTCATATTGCTTGTTCTACGAATAGAACAGTGGTACCTTGGTCAGTGAACTTTAATCCACAATTTTGCAAACGATGTTTGTGTGGGAAAGATGGTTGTAGTTGTGTTTGTCAACCGATGTAGTTTGCAAACAAACAGAATTTTGCCAAATGCTTCTGTTTGTAAACCAAATTATTTGCAAACAAAATGGTTCATGAGCCGAGGCACTACTATATATACCTTCCTAAGTAATGTTAGCTGCATCTCATGTGTTTGGTGTTTTTGATTTTCTTTGACAGACTTAAGTTTTTCAGATGAGTTCGTAATATACAAATGTGTAGGATTTTTTAGTTACCACTTGTACATTGGTTGCTGTGCTAACTATATCTTGGTTTTCACTTGTGCTCATTTGTTAGCTTTTATCACTTAAGAATTTGTGCATGGAAATCCTTTAGAAGTTCTTATTGTAATGATAGATTGTTTAACACATTCCTGCCAGCTTGAACCCCACCAGTGGTACATGCATGACTATCCCATCAGGTGGCACTAATAAAGTCAATAAAAAACCACCTAATAGGACAGTCATGCATGTACCACCTGTGGTTGAAGTTGCCCTGCAGCTGTGACTCGTTTGTGAATGTGTTAAGGAGTTTGCTTTGCCTGTGTTGCTCCTGGACTTTCTCCTACCACCCCAGAAAGCTTATCTCCTTACACTGCAGGCTTTCCTCTCCCCAGGGCTGGATTTCAATAGTGTCCTTTGAGGGACAGTTTATTTGAAGTTTACCTTCACATTGAGGGCTTAGCTTTGGGGGATCTAAAGCTAGATGGTCTTGGTAGACACTTTTGGGCTGGGTTTGCGTTTTGTCCTTTGTCACTGTAGGCTTTTAAACCCTGAAGCCAAGTTTGCTCGGTGTTCTACTTGTCCCCCTGATTTTCATTGGGTTTTGGACTCTAGATAATTATTTCTCAGTTTAAATGGGAATTAGTCCAGGCTTTATATGAAGTATAAGTCTAAGTACAGTAACCTACAAGTAGACAGTCTGAGAGAAAAAGAGATTCTTTCAGTTGGTAGTAGTTAACATCTTTAGGTTAAGGAATCTCCTTATAAATTAGTGTAACTTCTGGTGCTAATTACTGGTTGTACTTAAAGAATGTAGTAGCTAATGAACTTGTTCCTTTACACATTTCTACTTTATTTTCTCATCTAATCCTCTAAACAGGTTCAAGTAGGTTTACGACTCCGATGCAGACGTTTCACATTAAACGCACTCTGATTCTTCTTCAGCTGTAGCTCTTGTCAATTTATATTGAGTGGTATGCCCTACATAGTGGAGTTACTCAGTTTTTCTGTTTTGGCAACTATGTTAGGAATTGAGAGAAAGACAATAAACTAACTGGTATAGAGCATTTACACAGATTCACGTATTCCACTTGATCTAAAGGCCAAGAAGTGATGCACAGAATTCAGTAGTAGGAGGGGCTGGGGATTTAGCTCAGTGGCATAAGCGCCCGCCTTGTAAGCAGGCAGTCGGGAGTTCGATCCCTGGTACCGATAAAAAGGAAAAAGCCAAAAAAAAAAAAAAAAAAAAAAAAAGAATTCAGTAGTAGGAAATAATTTCAGTGACTGCTATAAATTTTTTTAGGAGGATCTGACACCTAAGGATATTGAAGAAATTATTGATGAGCTGAAAGCTGGGAAAATTCCAAAACCTGGGCCAAGGTATGCTGACATTTATATGTATAGTACAGTTTTAATGGCTTAACCTAAACTAATGTTTTTTGTAAACTTAATTTTTAAAATTTTTTATCTCAAGTTCATAGAAGTTGGCAAGAACTTTGGATAATACCTAAACCAAATTGTTTTTCTAGAGAATCTTTTTCTCTAAAATACCACCAGGTCGTCATCTGATACGTGCCTGAATATTTGTAAAGGAAAATTTATACATCTTTTCTGTTAAAAGTTCATACTGCTATAAGATTGAGCCAAAGTCTGTCTCTATTTTCCAGCTGAACATTACTTTCCAACACAAGATGATTTAATGCCTATTCTGTATGTGAGATAACTATCTTCTCATCCTCATATCTGTTGGTCAGATTCAGTTTTCGCAGTTTTCATTGTGTTTTCTGATATGACCTAGTTTTGGGTTCTCCTATGGAATTTCTAGTTGGTTTGTGACTTTGATGTGGGACATAATCTAATCACAGTAATGTCATATGCCGAATGACGCTATTTTGGTCAACAACAGACCACAGACACAGTAGTCATCGAAACATTCTTATTACTTAGTATTACTTAGTATTTTTACTGTATGTTTTTCTAAGCTTAGACATGTTTGGACATACAAATGCTTCACCTTGTGTTACACCTGCCTGCAGTGTTCAGTGTGGTAATATACTCTAGGATGGTAGCCAAGGGTCAGTCGGCTACACACACAACTGAGGTGGATTTTGTGTGTGCACTCTGATGCTCACACAGTGACAGTAGCTGATGACTCATTTCTCCGAACATACCATCATCGTGAAGCATCGTGACCCTATTTCATAGCTGAACATTCAAAGTTCTTTTAATATTAGCAACAGCTTGTATGGCTCTTATACAGCTTTGACCCTCCTATAAGTATTTTTTTTGTTTATTTTTATATAAACTTTTCTTCTGTCAACCCACTTATAGGTTTTAGTGACCATATAGTATTCTGATGTTTAAAATATGTGTTTTTTGTTTCAAAATATATTTCTTTGGGGGCGGGGTCTTTTTGAGACAAGGTCTCAGTATGCAGTCCAGGCTGGCCGTGAGCTCACTTTGTAGCCCAGGCTGGTCTTGAACTTGCAGTGATTCTCCTGCCTCACCTCTGAGTGTTGGGATTACTGGCATGTGCCACCACACCCTAATTTATTATAAATAACAATTCCCTTAAATTGAATTAGAAAGAGTATAGAGCTATTCAACAATTTGCTCTCTAGAAATATACTGGCAGACTAACAATCTTACTTAATGAGTACAGCTAAATTTGGAAACACCAACTGGCCCCTACTGATTATTAAAACTTGTAAGAGACACATAATCCTTAATCTGTATACATAATTTGCTTGAAGAGATTCGGTATTTTCTTTCTAGTTCCTAACTTTCTTGAGCTATACTTGCAGTGTTTTGTTGGTTGTTTTTGTGATTTGGAAACTTGGCCTTTGTACTAGGCTGCATCCCCCCCCCCCTTACTTTCTGTCTTGAGACAGGATTTCCCCAAATTAACTACTTTTCCCAGTGGGGGCTTCAACTTTTGATCCTCCTGCCTTAGCCTCCCAGAGTACTGGGATTGTAGGTGTGTGCCACCACACACACAGTTTACATTAGCATTGTCCTAAGATAAAACCTTTCACTGTCTGCCTTCTCTTCTGGAGGCAAATAAAACGACTTTGTCAGGCTGGGGATTTAGCTCGGCGGCATAAGCGCCTGCCTTGCAAGCAGGCAGTTGTGAGTTCGATCCCTGGTACCGATAAAAAGGAAAGACAAAAAAAAACAACTTTGTCATGTGATATTATACTATCTTTCTGCGCCAGTGGTCCTGTTCCTTACTTACTCTTGTTTCACATGTTGATTGCTGCCTTCTCCCTGGAAGTCTGTATTTCATAGTATTTTCCATAGGCCTCAGACTCTTTCAGGTTCAGATTTACCTTTGTTTTCAAATTTTGGATACTTCAAAAAAAATATTGTTATGTACAGGCTTCCTTGTGAAATCTAGTGAGGTTCTTTAGATGGCCACCTTTCTTCTGATGAGGTGGTTATAATTCTGTGGTCATAATTCTACATAGAATTTCCTACTTCCCTTCTTGTGAACCCTGTGGGTCACAGACATCGATCTACTAATGTATTATTCTCCTGTCACAAACTGGAATGCTTTGTCCACTATCATATTACGAACTCAGCATTCATTTATTTTACCAACATGTCTGTTATGAACAAGACAAAGTGTGTATGTGTAGTGGCACTTATGGTGGAGACAAATAGCTAAGTGATAAATGCTACCAAGAAAAATAAGACAGCAATAGGGATGGAGAATAGGAGTCTCCTAATTCCATCTGGTGAGACCTTTCTGAGATGGAAGCACTGAAGTCAGGTCTGAATGAAGAGCTAGCAGGAACCATTTAAAGAGGGGGGGGCGGTGCTAAGGGCCAAAGGGTCTGAGGCTGCAGAGAGCTGCATGAGGAGCCTGAAAGGTCAGCACCGCAGCTTCAGCTGTATCGGAGCCTACGTATAACAACAGCTAGGATGTTTACAGTGTGGGTCTTGTGGAAAGTACTGTCTTATGCGCTATGTGGAAAATAGTTTAGAATTTAGTGGGTATTATTGAACTGAGGAATTATGAGGGATTTCTATCATTTTGATTGAAGCCTTTCTGTGAGTCCTTTAAAATGGAGAAGATGTGAGGGATGGCAAGTTTGAGGAGGAAAAGCAAGATTGTTGTTTAGGATGCGGGAGGCATGCCTGTCGAACATTCATAGCAGAATCCTCTCAGGTCATATGATCCTACAATGTGGGGATAAATGAAGGCTGGAAATACTAATCTGGGGATTTGTTAGTTACTAGGAGTTGCTGTTTAAAGTTTTTAGGTAAGAGTGCCATGAGTGATATCAGATTTCCTCTTTTTAAATGAGATACTATAATTTGACATTAGTAAGGAGGAGGTTCCACCACAATTAAGCCTTGCTTTTTTTTGAGACAGTCTTGCTTTGTGGTTCAGGCTGGCCTGGATTCACTGTGTAGCTCAGGCTGGCTTCAAACTTGAGATGATCCTCCTGTCTTGGCATTTCAAGTGCTGGGATTACAGGTGTGCACCACCATTTCTGACTCAGTTAAACATTTTTAACCCGATACTGCTTATCAATACTTATATTCCTTCATTGGGATTGTGTCCATAGTGTTCTCATATAAGCCAGAACCTTTGGAATTACTAGCGTCTGAACCTGTTTTTTTTCCCCCTATTGTAACTTCTTATTTTAAAAATGCAGACATAGATCTACTTACTTTTCAGTAACTGTACAGCATCTCTCGTGGTGGTGTCCAAAACTTGTATTTGAGCACAGTGTAATACAGGAATGTAACCAGCAGCATGTGAAAACAAGAACTTTCCACTTCTCCTCCCCCTAATTAATATCTTGGATGCATAAGATAATGAACAAGATTGGGCTAGTAAACAGTAAGCATTATGTGGTAGATTTTTTTTAATGTAGTTATTCTTTACATTAACCAAAGCTAATTGTTTCAGTATTTTTATAATAAAACTCTTGGTTCTAATATCTGAAAGAGGTGCTAATTGTCTTAGAGTAATGAAGAGCTCAAGAAAAAATATTCAGTAGTAACTGATTGCTGAGTACTATCATCAGGTCTACCCTAGTCAACACTAGTTACTGTGATTCAAAACTGTTTTATTATTTTTGTCAAATGTAAGAAAATATTAAATGGTGGTGAGATAATACTAATCTTGACTTTATGTGCCCAGATTGCTGTTATTTTCAACTTAAGGCACAAAAAATAACTTCTAAGCCTATTTTCAAAATAACTCACATCTAATTTATATTCTTCATGTTTTGTAAGATATCTTAAAGTATATAAGAATCTGTCGTGTGCACAAGGTACTAGCCCAAGATAAAATATAGACAACGAGGCAACAATTGCAGTGCAATTGTTGTAGACCCTGGATTTTTAATACAGAAAGTAGAGAAAGTGAAGGCGGGGGAGCATTAAAGTTACATAAAATAGTCTGAACATAGTACTTTTTTTGTAAGCCATAAAAACTCACAGGAAGGCTGTGATTTTCAAATGTAAATAAGTTAAAATAGTACATACATGTAAAGTATTGGAATAGCTAATAAACTGTATTTACTTTTTGAATCTTAATGAAGATGAGAAGTAACTTATAGGCACCATTTTAAGTACTGCAGTATCAGAAAATGATTTTTTTGTTTAGTAAGTGATTAGATGACTAAACAAAAGATTTTATAGCCTTCATAGTATTTTGATATGCATTGTATGAATGCAGAGAAAGGAAAGAACCTCTGCAGGAACTTTCATTTCCTCTAAAGTATGTTGCAGGATTATTGTTTCATAGAGCAAACTTTAGAAAAATTTAAGCTAGATTATCTAAAAAATTACTTCCATTTATAAAATTCCAAAATCCTTTTAAGCACTCTAGAAACTTCAGTTTGTGTAATCTTCCTTTGTATTGGCAAAGGTGATGTGAGTATTAAGGAGCTCATTCATTTAAAGACCCATCTCCTTCAAGATGGTAAGAGGCTTTGGGATCAAACGGTCAGCTTTCAGTAGACTTCTAAAGTAAAACCTTTAAGTCACATTCCATTCCAGCATTTGTATTGAGCAAGAGAAATGTTGTAGTGTAAAAAATTTGATAGCGGGGTAGCTGAGCTTAAGGTACTACCGAATTAACTTGTTGATATTTGAAAATTACAATGCCCGATGTTTGTTTTTATTTAAGATAAATGTTATTTTGCCACTCAGCTTTACTACACTTAGCTTTTACTACATTTCTTCAGAAAGTACACAGTGACTGCCTTTTGATCTGGTTTTTATAGCAAACAAAAAGACTGACAATACAAATGTTACTAATTTCTGGCTTAGGTCTTAGTGTAGTACATTACTTAGTTCCTTATATTATGTACTGAAAGAGCCTGAAAAAAAGCTTTTGAGTGATCACGT